AAATCAATGCTGATTATCCCACAAAATCCTCGATACAAACGTTCATAATCTCTTAGGTTCATAATAGCAAAGTGTTCACAAAAGTGAATGACCTAGAGTCAGTCCGGATGTCCTTCCACAGGGAAAGGGTTACAAACACTATAGTTATACTTACCGTGCAGTATTCTTAAGCAATTGATATGAACAATCTGGGGCTGAATAGATAATACAGCAGGTAAGGTATTTACCTTGCATGTGCCCAACCCAAGTTCTCCCACAACAAATAATTCCTGAGTACAGAGATAGTATTGAGAATTTTCTCTCTCTTCAAAAATTCTAGAATTTACGTATGCAAAATCTAATAACATTTCTTTTTGCTTGTCTTTTGGGCCACACTCAATAGTGCTCAGAACTTACTCCTGGCTCTGTGCTCAGAGAGCACTTCTACTGGATCTCAGAGAAGCATGTGTGGTGACAGGAATCACCACGTTGGCTTCGTGCAAGGAAATGGACCTAACCATTGTACTATCACTCCATCCCCTCCAATAGTATTTCTAATTTTAAAATAGTCAGAACTGAACCAATAATAGCATTCCTCTGGTTTTAAGCACAGAGATGGAAAAGTTCTTTCTCTACTTTTTGTTTTCTGCTTCCTTAGTTGCTGGCTTTATTTGTCTGTTTGTAGTGGTGGTGGTGGGGGCATAGAATGCAGTGTTCAGGGACTGCTATGGCACTTTGCTTAGGAGTGAGTTGCTCGTGCTGGTGCTTGGGGTACCATAAGCAGCTTCAGGACTTGAATGCAGAACTCGTGTTGACTGCATTGTTCAGAGGCTATACCTGGGTGTGGGCTAGTGGTGCTAGGGGAACCATATGTGGTGCCCAAGAATGGAACCCGGTATGGAACCTGTTCTCCCCAAATAAGGCAAGAGTTTCTTCTCCAGTAACATCTCTACGGACCCTCTTGACTTGTTTTTGATCATGGTAGGTTAAGTATATGGCTCTCAGACTGGGAGTGGAATATGTTTCTGTATTTTGCATTAAATAAAAGGGAAAGATGGGGCTGGAGAGCTTGTACAGTGGGCCAGGTGTTTGCCCTGCACACATCTGACTAGAGTCTATCCTGGAACACCCTGTGGTCCCCGTAGCCCTGCCAGCTGTTAACCCCTGAGCAGAGTCAGGAGTGAGCTCTGAGCTCTGCCAGATGTAGGCCCCACAACAACAAATTTAACAATGAAAAATAAAGGGAAAGATGGGTAACAATGAAAATATAATTTTGTTTTTCTTCAAGCATGTGATACTCATATTGTTGTTAATATAATTTAATTTTCTATTTGACTTCTTTAATTGTACGATTAAAAAGTCATTAAATGGCTTTTTAATTGTCCAATCTTTCTAAAACTATGTTTCTGAACATAAAATAAGTTGATTTTCTAAATGTTTTGCTTTTGAGATTGATTTCTATCTTTCTATTCTGTGGCGGGAGATCATAAGTAACATGGTCTGGGAATTGAATCCTCTGAATTGTTTTACATTTTACTTTAAAGCTCAGTATTTTCATCGAGTTTGTTAAGAGCTTCATTTGAAATTTTATAAGTCTTAAGTAAAACTTTGATGTAAAACATTTGAAAGGAGTCACTCCCAGGTGAATGATGAGACAACCCGAGATAAATTACAAAAATGGAAACTTCGTGAGTCCATCAGACAAGAGACAATATGCCCACCCGAGGGGAAACCTACACAGAGAAAATTCCACATTAGATCTAGAGGAAAATGGGCTCAAGTCAGGAAACAGGACCTTCACTGAGAGCTACATGCAAGATGGGGAACAATTTTACCTCCAGAGCATTTCCTTGATATAAACAGAGACATATAAACTCCCATACTGATTATTATTCATTAGTCAGAAGCGTTAGAAATTGCTCAGAAAGCATTGTAGTGGAGCTGGCTGCATAATCCCTTGAAGAACTACCATGAAATGAAGGTCAGGCCCCTTCCCTTCAAAAACAATAAAACATTCTTCTCTAAAAAGTATAAAACTGACTGAAATCAAAGATCAAAGAGAAGTTGAAGGGTTCATTTTCATCTCTGCACCTTAGAGCAGCACGCCAGCACTGTCAGAACTGGCCCAAAGACCCACGGCATGCAGGGCCCAAGAAGCACCTCACACTGAACTGCTGGGTCCAGTTGACCAGAATGACCAGGAGTGACCCCCCGGGCACCACTGAGCATAGATTGGTAGGCCTAGTCTCCTCTCCCACAAAGGGAAAAAAAGTTGTTCAAAAAGCTCATAGCAGGGAACACTCAGTAGGCCCCTGGTAAGCAGGTTCTTTTCAGCAGAGACCTGCAAAGCCAGGAGAGAATGGGGTTTTATATCCAGTGGTAAAAGAAAGCTGAGTTGTTTCAGAATTAAAAGTGCAATAAGGATGTCCCCTACAAAAGCAAATGCTGAGGAAATTCACTCCCAGTAAGCCTACATTACAAGACATGCTGAAAGCGGTCCAAGCCGAAACAAAGGTAACCTGAAAACACATGTACATATACAACACACTGCTAAAGAAAGCCTGCTGCAAGATTCGTAATATGCTAATACTGTAAGATGGTGATGTGCTAACTACTATTTATATGGCTAAGAGAGGAAGTACTTTTGCAAAGCTTAAAACTGCTCATTAGGGCACAGAAACCTGTAAAGGCTGACACATTCACCCAACCAGAGATGAATCCTGTATAGTATATAGCAAAGAGTTACAAAACAAAGACTAATGCGGGCAGAGACTCTTGAGCTAAAGGGAACCACTGCAAACCAAGTAGGGTATCTGGGATCATCAATACAGAGCTGGTCCCTTCCTCTGCTTTTCATTCTCAGTGGCTGCCGCACACACACACACACACACCACACACACACACACACACACACACACACACACACACACTAAGCTGACTTTAAGATCCATTTCCTCGAGGTTTTAAACCAAAAATAACATCGTTTGAGAAAAATGAAAATCTGTCGTTTGCACCATGAGACACCTTACCAAAGGAACTGCTGAAAATGAAATTTGAGCGGGGCAAATAGTTCCGAGGACAAATGCAGGTGCTTTGCATGATGAAGTCTTGGATTCAACTTCCGGCAGCATATGTTCTAAGTCTATCACCAGGACAAATTTTGATTCAAAATTTGTAATTTACTTTTAAAATACATTAAGAGGGGGCTGGAGAAAAAAATCTTGCCTAGCACCTGGCCTACCCAGATTCAAATCTTGGCAGCTCATATGATCCTCTGGCTTCCACCAGGAGTGATCTCTGAGCACAAAACCAGGAGTAAGTCCTGATCACCGCTTGGTGTGGCTCCTTCAAAGTACGCGAAAGAGGGCTGAAGAGATAGTAGAATGGGTAGGTGTTTGCCTTGCAAGTGGTTGACCTGGGTTGGATCCCCAGGATGCAACCTGGGTTGCATCCCATATGGTCTCCTGAGCACCGCCAGGAGTAATTTCTGAGTGCAGAGTCAGGAGTAACCCCTGAGCATCATCGGGTGTGATCCAAAAAAGAAAAAAAATAAACATCAAATAAACACCTTTGCCTATATATTATCATGGCCTCCCTGATTTCTGAATGTGGCCTTCTTTCTTGGCAAGGATTTCCCTTTTACTTATCCCCACTTTTACTCTGGCTGGCAGACTACCCTGCTCTGCTTTGGAGTTGATTCCCCAAGTGCAGTGACCAGCTCAAACCTCTCCTCTCTCTGGGAATTCCTGTTGAGCTCCAGCAAGGCTATCATCACTTTAATAACACTCATTTTTCACCAATTCAGCATTTCAGCAGACCAAAAAGTGTGAATAAGACAATGAAAAATTTAGTGAATGTTAACTACACTAGCCCTCTTTGGTTTCCAGTCTGTCTTTGGAGATTGGGTTTTCTGTTTTCATTTTTTCTTATTCAAGTTCAGTTTTTTTTTCTTTTTGCTTTTTGGGTCACACCCGGCGATGCACAGGGGTTACTCCTGGCTCTGCACTCAGGAGTTACTCCTGGCGGTGCTCAGGGGATCATATGGGATGCTGGGAATCGAACCCGGGTCAGCCGCCTGCAAGGCAAATGCTCTACCCACTGTGCTATCTCTCCAGCCCCTCAAGTTCAGTTTTGATAAGAATGGGAAACAGGGCCCAGAGAAATAGTACCGGGCTGAGGGTGCTGACCTTGCATGCAGCTGACTTGGGTTCAATCCTACACACCCCATATGGTTCCCTGAGAAGTGCCAGGAGTGACCCTGAACACAGGGCCAGGATAAGCCCTGAGTACGCCCCTGAAAGAGAAAACTGAAATCAACTGACCTTTCTTCCTCACATCTTGCCCCTCCTCCCCTTGTCTCCTCTCTCTGATCCTTTCCTTTCCTTTCCCTGAGGATTTAGGGGTTGCAGATGCTCAATCCGCTGATGGCTAATGCAGGGAAGTGCTTTACCCACTGGACGATTGCTCCGACTGATCCGCTTGGAGCAACATAAAGTCCCTTATTATCAGTGTCACTGCTGACCATCTCAGAGTTCTTGTTCAGTCCTGCAAATGGTTGTGGGTTAGAGGAAAGAGCATGAAAGTGGCCAGACACTTGTGATGACCGTGTGGTGGACGGAGGTCAGTATCTCAGGACCTCAAATTTAAATTTTGCTGAACGGCGGTGTTTCAAGTGACGACTCTCAAAGTCTTCAGGCTGTCTCGATCAACTGTAGATGTTGGCCGAAGAGCTTTTGTCCTCCATGTTCGAAAGCTTTTTGTTTTCCTCATATTTGCAACAAAGTTTAGCAGGCTCCAGATTTTCGCACTCTGATTGGTTGATGAGGTGGCACACTTGATTGGTTGCTGCAGGCTAAGCTGGATAACTGTAATAATCTATCAGCTCACGCTATGCACAAGTAGGCTTGTGTTGTATCCAATCAGATGGATATTGCTTATGACGTCAGCCGTCTTGGAAACTATAAAAAAGGGCTGCCGCCCCTCGACTTTCTCTTTGTCCTGCCTTTGGAGCTGCAGAGAAGATGGATCAGCTGGTTCCAGAGATCGTGTCGGAGGAGCCCACCCTCAAGGAAGAAGACCCTGCAGAGGCTGAGCAGGAGGCTGCGAAGCCCAAGACGCAGAAGCGCTGCCGCCGCAGGCGGCAGCCACGCTATAGCCCAAGTGGTCTGTCCTGCCGTCGCACCTACGAGAGCTTCGCCATCTACTTCCCCAGGGTCCTGAAGACTGTCCAGGAGGGCATGAGCCTCTCGAAGCAGGCCTTGTGCGTCCTGGACTCGTTCGTGGAAGACATCTTCGAGCGCATCGTCCGGGAGGCGGCGAAGCTGACCCAGGCCAGCAACCGGGTGACCATTACGTGCCAGGAGCTCCAGGCGGCTGTGCGGATGCTGCTGCCACGAGAGCTTGCCAGGAACGCTGAGAAAGAAGGTACCAAGGCCGTCCTCCGCTACACCGAAAACAGATGAGCGGCCTCGGCCCCTGAAGCCGCACACCAAAGGCTCTTTTCAGAGCCACTTGAACCCAAAGGCTCTTTTCAGAGCCACGTAAATGTGCAAAAGAAAAGACCTGTAGCTCTTTCCTAGGGGATTGGGGAGCTGAGCAGTGCTCAGACGGGACAGGCTCCGTCTTGAGCAGAGGTCGGCAGGCCCAGGGGCTGCACTCAGTGGTGCTCTGTCGTGGGGCCATCCTGAGCAGCGAGCGCTCTTTGCAGGGACCTCCCCCCTCCCTTCCATGCAGGCCATGCTATCTGTCCCGGGGCCTCCACCAAGACCGCGCAGTCTTGCAGGGGATGCGAGCACTGCTCATCGCAGCCGTCTACGGTGGCGAGCCCTGCTTGGAGGTGGGGAGCGCCCAGTACAGGGGTTCTGGAGAGCGGTGCTGGCTGTAGGGAGACAGCCCTCCCTAGCAGTCCTCAGTTCTAAGGCCCTGGGGGGGCACTCCTGAGCGGTGCACCGTTTAGGGGGTTTCCACCAGAGCAGTGCTGGGTTCAGCAGGGGAAAATGCCTGGGCGACTCAGCGGGCGCACACCCCACTGGAGCTGTGCTTTGTTTTGGAGGCCCTTCCCGAGCATGCCTGAGGACGCGGGACGGGGCTGAGTGGGGTGGGCGGGAATCCTGCAGAATGGTTCTCAATCAGGTCCTCGGCGCCCAAGCGGGCGGTTTGAGCAGGAAGTGGCGAGTGGACTGAGCTGTAGATGGCAGCCCGCCAGAGGAGCGTAGTTTGGGCGGGAAGGCGGTGTGCGCCCCCAGCGGTGCAGTTCCCCAGGACTTTCCCCACCCCTTTCCTGTTCCCGAGATGCACCCAAGCGGCACTATGTTCCTGGGACCCAACACGAGCTGCATTCTGTTCCGAGGAGTCCACAGGAAGTTATGTTCCAGGGACTTCTCCCCAGCTGCACTCTGTTACAAGGGTCCCACCTCAGTGGTTTGGGGTGCTTTGTTCTGGGTTCTCTACCCCTTCCGGGTTCTATTCTGGGTGCCCAACACCCGCGGTGCTGTGTTCCCGTGACCCCACGCCAGTGGTGCTCTGTTCTGGGGGGACCCAGTTAACTGGTGCACAGTTGGAGGTGCTTACACGAGCCATGCACTGTTCCAGAGGCCCCATGAGCAGGCTCTGTTGGGGGTCACCATCAGAGTGGTGCTGTGCTGGGGGTGGGTCCCGCCGAGCAGAGCTCTGTTGCAGGTAGCACCACTCGAGTGGTATTCTGATTCAGGGAGCCCCACGGGAGTGGCCTCTGATCCAGGGGCTCTAGCACAGCTGCGCTCAGGACCATGGGTGCTTCATCTGGGACATTCTGCTCTGGGGCTCTACTCCATGACGGTCTGTTTGGTGGGCCCTACCCCAGCATTGCTGTTCCAGGGACCCTACCCAAGCAGCGCTGTTCAGTGTCCAAGAGAGTGGTGCTCTGTGCCAGAGAGCCCCAGCCACACATTTTACTGTTCCAGGGTGCCCCACGTGAGTAGAGTGCTGGTCAGGAGGCTCCACTGAACAGTGCTCGGTTGGCCGGACACCATCCTAGCGGTGCTCTCTTCCTTCGGGGGTTCCAGCGAGCAAAGGACTATCCTGGAGACTATCTGCGGCGCTGTTTCCAGGGCTCTACTGGAGATTTGTTTTGTCCCCAAGGCTCCTCTGTAGCAGCCTCTGTATACAGGCTGGGGACCGGGGGCGGGAACCCGGCAGAGTGGTTCTCAATCAGGTCCTTGGCGCCCTAGCGAGCACTTTGAGCAGGAAGTGGGGATCCGGCTGAGTGTAGGCGGTAGCTGGCCAGAGGGGCAGGGTTTGGGCGGGAAATCCTGCGTGCGCCCCCCCAGCGGTGCAGTTCCTGAGGCCTTTCCCCACGCATTTCCGGTTCCACGCCCCACCCCTGCGACACGCACCCCAGCGTGCTTTGCTCTGGCTTGTTCTGGTCGGGCACTCTGTTCCGGGAAACCCAGCCCAGCTGCCATCAGAGGCAGGGACGCCACCGAGCACAGCTCTGTCACAGGAGCCCTGGCCGAGTCCAGCTTTGTTCCCGGGGTGTTCTGCTCCGGGGACCCCTCCGAATAGCGCAGTGTTCTGGAGGCTCCACCCCAGGGCGCTCTGTTCCAAGCTTCCGTCCCGGCTGTTTCGGGTGCTCTGTTTCTCGTTCTTCGCCCGAGATGCGCTGAACTCTGGGTGGCAACCACAGCGGCACTCCGTTCTGGGGGCCCTGCTGAGTGGTGCACTTTTCCAATGGGCCCCACGAGAGCCACGCACTGTACCCGCGGCCCCAAGAGCAGCGCCATGTCGTGGGGCCCAATCCGAGCGGCACTCTCCTTGGGGGTCCCGGCGAGCGGAGCTCTGTCCCAGGAGGTGCCACCCGAGTGGCACTCTGTTCCTGGGAACCCCACGCCAGCTGCACTGTTACGGGGCTCCCACCCGAGAGGCGGTCTGTACTGGGGGTGCTGTATCGGGCCAGTCCCTCCACCCCAGCGGCATCTCTTATGGGGGCCCCACCATAGGGTTGCTTTATTTTGAGAACCTCACGCAAGCAACACTGTGTTTGGGGTCCGAGAGAGCCGTGCTGTGTTCCGGGGTGCCCTCAGTAGCAGCGCTCTCTTCTGGAGGCCCCTCTTGTCTGTGCTCATCAGCGGTCCCAGGTAGCAGAGCGCTGATGGAGGGGTATGGGCTCCGCCAGAGATTTGCTTTGTTCCAAAGTGCTCGTCCCTAGCAGCCTCCGCCTACAGGGCTGGAGACTGCAGGCAGGGCGGACCTGCGCAGTGGTTCTCAATCAGGTCCTTGGCGCCCTAGCGGGCGGTTTGAGCAGGAAGTGGGGAGCAGGCTGAGCTGTAGGTGGCAGCCCGCCAGAAGAGCAAAGTTTGGGCGGGAACTCCCGTGTGCGCCCCCCAGCGGTGCAGTTCCCCAGGCCTTTCCGGAGCTGTTTTCTGTTTCCCAGAATCACCGAGAGGGCACTCTCTAAAGGGGGCTGCACCGCAGCAGAACTCTGTCCCGGAGTGTTCTGTTCCGGGTACTCTGTTGAGGGGAACCCTCCCCAGCGGCACTGTTAGGGGGTGCTCTGTTTGTTGTTTCCACCCAGCCGCGTTCTATTCCAGGTCCCCCACCCCGGCAGAGCTCTGTCCAGTGGCCCCTGCTGAGTGGTGCAGTTTTGCAGGTGCCCCCCACAGGCGCTTTATTTCACAGGCCCCATGAGAAGTGCTTGGCGCCGGCACATTTCAATTAGGGCTGTTCCGGGGATCCTGGCTAGCGGAGCTCTCCTAGGGGCCGCCTCCTGAGCGGTGCTCTGTTCCGGAAACCCCACCCGAGTGGCGCTGTTTTCGGGGCCCAAGCAGAGGGACTGTCGAGGGTGCTTTTTCTGGGACACTCTGTTCTGGGGCTCTAATCCATGTGGGTGTTTTGTGCGCCCCAACCCAGCATTGCTGTTTCGGGGACCCCACTCGAGCAGCGCTCTTTGGTGTCCAAGAGAGCAATGCTCTAAGCTGGAGAGCCCCAGACACACAGCTCACGAGTCTGGGGTGCCCCAAGTGAGCAGAGCACTCATCGGGAGGCCCCACTGAGCAGCGCTTGGTTGGCTGGGTACCACCCTAGCGGTGCTCTCTCACTTCAGGGGTTCCAGCGAGCAATGCACTGTCCGGGGACCATCTGCGCGGATGTTTTTCCTGGGTTTCCCTGGAGATTTGCTTTTTCCCCAAGGCTCCTCCCTTGCAGCCTCCATATGTAGGCTTGGGGACTGGGGGAGGGGGTGGGCGGGAGCCCTGCAGAGTGGTTCTCAATCAGGTCCTCCGCGCCTAGCCTTCAGTCCGGGCAGGAAGTGACAAGAGGGCGGAGCTGTAGGCGGGGGCGGACCAGAGGAGCACTTTGGGCGGGATGGCTGGGTGCGCCCCCAGCGGTGCAGTTCCGCATGCCTTTGCCAGCAGTTTTCTGTTCCCGCGCTGCGCCCTAGCAGAGCTCCAATCCTGGGGGTACTCTGTTCCGGGGGGTGCCACCCCAGTGGCGCTCTATTCTGGGGGAACCAGTTCACTAATTCACTGTTGGGGGGCCCACATGGGCTACAATTTCCCAGAAGCCCCACGAGCAGCACTTTGTTGGGGGTCACCATCTGAGCAGCGCTGTTATGGGGGTCCCGGCTAGCAGAGCTTTGTTGCAGGAGCCGCCACGTGAGCAGCAATCCGTTCTGGGGAACCCCTCGGGAGCGAGCTCTGACCCAGAGGCCCCAGCATAGCGGCGCTCTGGACTAGGGCTCTGAACCGGCACTCCATGGTGGTCTTTTCAGTGTGCCACAACCCAACATTGCTATTTCAGGGACCCCACCCAAGCAGTGCTGTTTGGTGTCCAGTGCTCTGTGCCGGAGAGCCCCAGCCAGGCAGTGCTCTGTTCCAGGATGCCCCGCGTGTGCAGAACGCTCGGCAGGAGATCCCACTGAACAGCGCTCGGTTGGCTGGGTAACATCCTAGCGGTGCTCTCTCCTTTTGGGGGTTCCAGCGAGCAAAGCACTGTCCAGGGGGCCACCTATGCAGCACTGTTTCCAGGGCTCCACTGGAGACTTGTTTTGTCCCTGAGGCTCCTCTGTAGCAGCCTCTGTATACAGGCTGGGAACTGGGGGCAGGGGGGGGGGCGGGAACCCGGCAGAGGGGTTCTCAATCAGGTCCTTGGCGCCCTAGCGAGCACTTTGAGCAGGAAGTGGCGAGCCGGCTGAGTGTAGGCGGTAGCTGGCCAGAGGGGCAGAATTTGGGCGGGAAATCCCGCGTGCGCCCCCCAGCGGTGCAGTTCCTGAGGCCTTTCCCCACCCATTTCCAGTTCCATGCCCCACTCCTGCGACACGCACCCCAGCGTGCTTTGCTCTGACCTGAAAGGTCACTGCTCTTTGCGGCTTTCCCTGAAAGGTCACTGCTGTTACTTATTTCTCTAGGTTAGCCTATAGGGTAAAATTCTGATTATAATGATGTTTGTTTACTTACCACTCTCATTCCACTCTTTATTTTCTCAGGAG